TGTGATGTTACTTAAATTTGAATCTCTGTGTTTCAATTCTTTTAAAATACAGATGATATTAACTTCCACATTATAGATTTCTTTAGAGGACAAAATGAAATGATTCACATAAAACATTTAAAATAAGGATCTGGAGTACAGAAAATGCTCAATGGTAGTCTCTACTGTTGTTATCATTGAGAATACCAAAGACGGATAAGGGATTCAAAACAAGGCTTGAGCTCAAAACATCACTGTAGACGCCAAGTCCCTAATACCACAACATTATATTACAACTGTTTCATTTGCCTGTGTCTACTGACAAACTGAATTCATTCTAGAGAATGTTTAGAGAATGGTAGGAATGTAACAAATGTCTTCTGAACTGAAATAATTATTTCTAATATCATATTATTCCCTCATTTAATAGTGTCTTGTGCCATTTAATCAAATAATGATTAGAGAAAATGATTACAAAAACATATGGAACATAGACTATTTGAAAAATATTATGGGCTTTGTGTCCATTTTCAGATCTAAAAGTTATATAGGCAGTGAGAAAGATACACAAATATTTAACTTTCTAAAATGTCATATTTGAATCACTTTACTAACACATATATGAAGTTCCGTTAGATAGTCCAGACATCTGTTTCCTTGGCCAGAAAGTGTAGGCGTTTGTGGAGATTTTAAGCAAGCATTAAACAACAGCTTCTAGAATCTCATAGGCAGCCTACATGGGGGCAGGAACATGGGTGTTCCTGCACTCTCTCTCTCTCTCTTTCTCTCTCTCTCTGTATAGATAGATAGATAGAGATAGATAGATAGATAGAGATAGATAGATTATATAGAGAGATAGATACATATACACACATGTATAATCTCAAGGTCACCAGATCCCCACTACCACCTCCTGATTTAATATTTCTCAACTCAATGTGTTGACTTCACTAGTCCTTGGCTAGACAGTGTACCTTTCTTAAGATGTCACTGGTAAAGAGACTGTAGTACATAGCACACAATTTTTGATTCCTTGAGTAAGACAAAGTGAATGTTTTAAGATTTCAGGAAAGGAAGGTCTTGTTTATGAATTTAAGGAAGAGATGAATGGGGCTCAGGTTTTGTGAGAGACATTGTTCTTGTTGTTAGCTATCATTAGATTTAGATATATAAGATATAATAGATGTGGATATACATAAGATATGGTAGACAGAGCAATGGAAGGTCACAGGTGGAAAACTGAGAAGTGCAATGCCTTGAAGTAGACTAGATGTATTTAGAAAACAGTGTTGCTGTAATATTGAATGATTCGATGGAGGAACAAAGATGTGATTATCAGTGATGAGCTGGGGTAAGGCTACTTCAGGAGTCTGGTCCCTAGACAGTGCAGCCCTGTGGAGCACCTGTGTAGGGGACTGTCAATTAATCACACAGTCCTGCGTAAGAAAGGAACAGCTTAGAAAAGGAGAAACATGAAACGATGACTGGAATGTTCTAACCAAGAAGGAAAGGAGTTCAAACTCATTGGATGGTGAAAAAAATACACTGGGACATGATAAATTATACAGGTCTCTAGGCATTCACACAGAGTGAGACCAAAGGAGAATATTTTTAGAAGATCACAAAGTCACAATAGCTGTGCGCATATGATCATATACAATAATATCTATCAAAATGAACTGAAGGAAATGGAAACAAGGGGTTTTTCCTTTGTTGCTGTTTTATGTCTTATTTTCCTTTTGTCTTGTTTGTTTATTCGTTTGGGGGAGGGTAAGGAGGCTCAGAAATGGTGAGACAGAGGAGAAAAAATGCAGCAGTGACACTCAGTAGACACCATGTTGAACTATACAACTTGTGGGTAGGGACAGGAGGGAAACACTGGGAGAGAGTGAAGGAAGGGGTGACATTGTTCAAAAAGAAAAGTACTCTTTATTTGACTTATATAATTGTAACCCCTCTTTACAATAACAAAACTTCATAAAATGAAAAAAAAATAGAGAAAGGTGAAGCAAATGTTATTCTGACTGATCAAAGATGAGTACCTGCAACTCACTGGGCCCAAAGAGGAGCTGACCTTTCTTCTCATCAATACCCAGACAGAGCCTGTCCAAGCATCACAAGTTAGTCCGTGGATTGAAATCACTATTGACGTCAGCTGTGGGTTGGATACTGAGGTGGGGTCCTTTGTTCATTTTATCTTATTTCACTCTCTATTTGCCCATCCTGAGAGCGATGATTGATGGGCAGCAGTTTACAGATGAAACACTGTAAACACACGGAAGTCAGAAGACCACGTTCCACACTGTAATTGGTGAGGATGAACAACCTAGCAAACACTGATTGAAGTAGAACCCACTGGCAGCCAACAGTGAACACACAGTCCCTGCTCTGAAACTCAGACCTCACTCCCAAGTTGGTCCATTTCTTCTTTCCACCACAGCTTTCCACTCTTATGAAAGAACTCTCAGTTCTGACTCAGTTACAGCATTTGCCAATGCTATACAGTGCTCACATTGCTAAAGGAAGTCACTTCTTGACTCAGTCTTGTGTTTTTATATTTTCTTCTAAAATGGCAATGATCGCAGGAACGGCTCATTCATTATTCATAGTTTAAGCAAGGAAAGGCTGGTGTTAGCTCGCAGACCAACATAAAGGAATAGAACATCAAAGCTTAAGCTTTTCACTCCTGCAGCTTCACCTCTGCTGTATCAGAACAAGAAACTTCAGTCTGAAAATAATCTGCCAGATATCAGAGTACAGAGTACAGAAACACCTCTCATATCAAAGTAATTACCTTCAAAGGATCACACTAGAAGGAAAACAAATCAGGAAATGATTTGCCTGTTTTTAGTATTCAAGATACTAGGAATTAAAATATACATGTAGAATTCTATGATAATCAAACATTTCCTCATTCACTTAATAGCTTTTATTGAATACTTGCAAAGCATCAGGCAATAATATAATAATGATATAATAGAAACATAGAAATTACTGAGACAGGGCCATTTCAAATGGCCCAATGGTAGAGCATAAGATGCAAGAAAAAAACAACACATTTCTAACTAAGGGGAAGGTGCCTCTAGAAAAACATTCTCCTTATGCTTTTAACATTTCTACCTATATTGTGAATGAAATAATGGCTACCATTTGTCCTATATTCTTTTGTCAAGGATATTTGTATAGCAAACATCCTCAGAAAACAAAATAGTATCTGAGTTTTGGGGGGAAAAAAAGGTCATATTTGCTTTCAATTTTGGATGATAGATTTTTTACAGAGTAAAGGGTAGAAACACTTACTGACTGTCCAATACAATAATTCTTGCCTCCAGGGCAAGGGGCAGATGTTTACTACCCATTATAAAATATTATAGTTCCCTAAGCTCTATGATCCTCTCCTGGGATGCAATCCACTCTGCAGTAACACCTTTTTTCCTGTCTTCTTGTGGGGACTTGGGCTCAGAATAAGGGTTCAAATATGTTGCTTTTTCATAAGCAATTAACTGTCCCATGTGTTCTACCAACATCTGTAAAGCTAAGGAGGATTTGGAAAAATTCATATTAAGTGAAGTAAGCCAGATCCAAAGAAACATAGATCCCATGGTTTCCCTCATTTGTAATAATTAGTATATGACTAGGATAGTCCTAGCAGATAAGCAGAATGGCTCAATAGGTATGTATATATGACCGTATAAGATGATGTTAAGTGAAATGAACTCCAAAGTATGGAAACAAGAGGTTAAAGTATTTAACTAAAGTAAAGTATCAGACGCTTGATAGTTCTCTTTTATAGTGAAGGTGATAGGAAAGTTCATGAGGAAAGGAATGAGCTTCCTTTTTAAAAATTAGTTTTCTATTATCTTAAAAACCACTTTGTTTTTTATAGTGTTTTATAGTGCTGGCCCTCAGCTGGCTTGCAAGGCTAGCACACTTGAGCCACAGCTCCATGTCTGGCTTTTTGGGTGGTTAATTGGAATTAAGAGTCTCATAGACTTTCCTGCTTGGCTGGTTGTAATCTTCAGATGTCAGTCTCCCAAGTGGCTAGAACTACAGGAGCAACCAAGTGCCCAGCATACCAAAGGGTTTTAATTCAATCTCAGTTTATGAATATAACGCATCTTGAGTAATAAACTTCCAATAGAATGAAAACAGGTCATCACTAGGGTGAGAATAACCTCAGATTCTTCATAGTTTCTGACAACTCCCATAATTTGCTCCCATAACGACAAATTCTTCCCCTTCCTGTGTTATTCTGGTGATTGAATTCAGGGCCTCACATTAACCAGACAGGTACATTATTGCTTGAGTCACACCCCAACCCAATACCACATTTTCTTTTTTTTTAAATAAGCTTTTTATTGTGAAAATACTGTACAGAGGGGTTACAGTTACATGAGCGTGGTAATGAGTACATTTCTTATCAAGCATTGTTGCTTATCAAACATTGTTGTTGCTTTTTCCTACCATCCTTCCTTCCCTCCCACCTCTACAACTACACCCCCACCCCTCTACCCCCAATCCCCTACCAAAACTGTAAAGTTCGTTGTTCAACATTGTCTTGTACATCTCATCGTTAACAATGGGTCAACCTGTATCCCTATTTAAACATTTTGTTTTTTCCCTTCCCCTCCCCAAATTATATCAACATCAAATGCAGTTATACCATGGGGGAGGAATATACAAAAAAAGAAAAAAAAACCAGAAAGAAATCACATGGTCCCTTATAAGTACGTTAGAAACAAGAAAGGAAAAAAACCACTTGCGTCCCTAGCTTGGGGTTCATTTCGCTTAGCATCAGCTCGTCTGGTCATATGTAATAGTGGAGACCCAGGACCACAGAGTGCCCACTTGGCTCACGTACAAAGCGCATTTGGGTCGCCGTCGTGGGTCCCTGTCAAGCCCGTATCTCGTTGGAGATCTCAGGTGTGGAAAGGACCGCCACTGGCCTCTGTGAACGTCCACGGCACAGGGGGAGAGGGAACACGGCCGTCCCAAGAACGGGCGCCGCTCCGCTTGCTTACCCGGAAGTAGTCGCTGCACGCGGCCAGCACGGCCTTGTGCGCGTGGAACTTCTGCTCCTCGGCGATCAGGGTGACATCGCACAGGATGCCGTCGCTCCTCTGCTGGTTCAGCGCCGCCAGGACGCTATCGTTGTGCGATTCCGAGTGGCAGAGCCGCTGGCCTGTCAGCATCTCCTGAATACTGCAAGGGAGTGCAATCAAGTCAGCTGTGTTCCGGGCACAAGCCCTCCCCTCCAACATGGACCCCAGAAACTTAGATGCTAATCCACCACCTGAGTTGGCCTGCGCTTCCCCACAGGTTTTCCTCTTCTCATCTCTGGACTCTTTCCTTTTCCCCCACGAGGTATCTTTCTCTCTCTGTTAGGGTCTCCTGATCTGAGTCTGTGTGTTTGTATTTGGATGTGTGTGTGTGTGTGTGTGTGTGTGTGTGAGAGAGAGAGAGAGAGAGAGAGAGAGAGAGAGATGGAGACAGAACATTTCCCACTTCAAGATTCCCTTTCTGATTCTGATGCTTTGTCTACCTTAATACATCAATATTATGTTCCCAGCACATAATATCTCCAATTAATACATGAAAATTAAGCATATACTGACTAGGGAAAAATAGCTGTAGGTGATCACTGCATATAAAAGGCAACTAAACAACCAGCTTATTATTAAACATAAGAAACCAGGCATCACAAGTTGAAATTAAAATACAACAGTCTTACCAGTCTTCATATCTATTTTATGATGATTGTAATGAATTTATGAAGAACTCTACATTTTTATTTTTCTACGACTTCCAACGTTTACGTTAAATATATTCCTTCCCTGTCGTACCTCATCCTAAAACAAATATCTTTATGTTCTTTCAAAATTCCTAGGAGAAACAAGAATTTCCTCAAATCATTATAAAAATAATTCCATAAACACAAAATGCAAACTGAACTTAGACAGCTATTGACAATTTCAGCTTGTATCAACAATATTTCTGGGTTGCACTGGTTGAGCTCTCTCCTAAAGAGCAGAGAGCCTTCCAGCCCTGTATGTGGACAGCAGAATGTCCAAGAGCTGAGTAAAGATATAATGAAAATAATTGCACATTGCTTTTCCTACACTCCATCACTCAACTGCTGCTCAGGGAAGCCAGATCAACCTCAGCCTTGCTTACACAGTTGGCTTTGCCTAGCCTGTGTGCTAGTTATAGTAAAGTACAAATCGCCTTAAAATTAACCAAGCTTCCCATGAAGTGCTAGATGGTAATCAATAAGACACGTTTGACTGGGAAGCATCAGAAATTCAGCAGTACAGAAAGGAAGGAGCTTGACAGGCGATGATATAGGAAGTCTTATGGGAAGTAGGAGGATTATTTTCAGTTACATTAGGGCAGTGAATTCTGAAATGGTTACTGACACTGACATATTCATCAATGGCTTAGCTATTGCTTAGCTGTAGATAGAACTTGTAAAATCAGTCATTGAAGGCAATTTCAGATGCACACATAGTTTTTCTTTATATTTTTTTCATAGAGCCAAGAATACGATTCATTAGCATTACTCAAAGAAAAGAGGAAACAGGGTATAACAGAAATGTATTAGTTCAGGGCAGCTTTAGTACAGTCTGAAAAGTCTTTCCTAAAAGAATATCATTTTTATGCATTTAACAAACACAGTGCTTGTTATAGTCAAGGAACTATTCTTTATAATTTATAATGATTAATTTATTTAGTTTGCATAACAGTCTTAGGAGACAGGTTCTATTGTTATCTGTATTTTACAGTCAAGAAAATAAAAAAATCTAAGATCAAGCATTTGAAATCATAACACCATGAGGGAGAAGAATGAAAGGGTGACATTGATCAAGATGCATTGTGCTCATAAACTGATATTTTGAGTTAAAACTCCTTTGCACAACTACTAAGATAACAAAAATTAATTTAAAAATGAAAGTATAACCAAGAACATAAGAATATGATGCCTCTTCCACTTAAAAAGATATTCTGTCAAGAAGCTCTCCAAAATGGATGCTTAAGTAGAGACAAATCACAAAACTCTGTCTTAATGTTGTAACTGTATAATGTTTTTATCAATCTTAAATCAGTTAATGAATATAATAATATGAAATAAAAATAATAACTTTGAAATCATGTTTCAGAAACATTGATCTTGGTACTAGAGTGAAAGTTTGAGGATAGAGAATTGATTTTTATTACTGTAGATGATGATGATGATGATGATTACTACTACCAGTCCTAGACTTGAATTCAGGTCCTCGGCACTAAGTTTCTTTTGCTCAAGGCTAGCGCTCTACTACTTGAGCCACAGCACTGCCACTTCCGGCTTTTCCTGTTTATGTGGTACTAAGGAATTGAACCCAGGGCTTCATGCATGCTAGGTAAGCATTCTATCACTAAGCCACATTCCCAGGCTCCCTACATTATTATTGTAAACGTTATGACTTCTTTTTCTCTTCTCATGTAGCAACTTAAATGCTACATAAATGTGTTTAAATGTTCATTTGTGGTGGAACATGAACATATTAAAATAATTGCCTTGAAATATTTCCTTATTGATTTTCCAAATGCAGTGCCAAAATTCATGTCCTTATCATTGAGACGGAGTCACTATTGGCATTTCAGATATCTGTTGAGAATGAGTAAATATTGGTAGGGAAAGAGCAACTATAAACTGAAATTTGGCAAGGAACAAAGGCTAAGATCAGAAATAATAATGATGCTCCAATTTCACAGGATCATTCAGCTTGGCTGGAAATATTCAAGCTCAAGGAACTAACAAGCTAAATATTTAAGACAACACTTGGCACAAGATCTCAAATATTTTGGAACCAATATGTTAGTAATTCTTAAAAGCAGAAACAAATACGCCAACATTTGGCAAGAAATAAAGGTCTATTAATCAACAAGTTATTACTGAATTCTTAAAGTAACTCCACACTGAATTCTCAGACTTAAATCTGTCAAAGGCCTTAAATTTCTAGAAACTAAGGTTCAATGGCCACAGAACACAGCTAGAAGGCCAAAAGTTCATTTATAAACCAGAGACAGGAATGAATAAAAGACTACAATTATTATGCTTAAGTAAAAGTATAAAGAGGACACACAGTTACAGTCAGTTCCTTTAGCATCTATAACATATTCAAATTAGCAAAGTACATCTCGAAAACTAGAGGACTATCCTTTACCAATTGGGAAACAAAGGAAAAACTGTCAGGAAGCTTCCTAAATAACTTCTAAATTACTAAAAATACATAAAAGAGGCAGTTATATTTCTTGAAGGGGTACAAATTTGAGTACAATATAAAATTGGGAAAAATCTATGGCAGAAAGGTTGCCTCTTCACATTTACAAGTAACAATGACACTGTTGCTCACCGCAATCTAGCTTGAGATCTGAAGATCATGTTTGAAGCCAGCCTGGCAGGAAAGTCTGTGAAACCACCAAAAAGCTATAAGAAGAGCTGTAGCTGACATGGTACAAGCAAAAGATGAAGGACCATGTCCAAGCCCTGAGTTCAAGCCCCAGAAGTGCCCACCCTTATCCAGTGCAATTCCAATATGTGCTTCTTTCATGGCCTCAAGAAATGCATTGTGGGTGCGGGGGAGGGATTATAGTCGTGGAGATGGGAGGGCATGCATGGTAGGGGGTAAACAAAGGAGGAGGCAACAATGCTTGATAAGAAATGTAGTCATTACCTTGCTCATGTAATTGTAACCCCTCTGTACGGTATTTTCACAATCAAAAAACTCATTAAAAAAGAAAGAAAGAAAGAAAGAAATGCATTGTCCCTTACAGGAACCCCTGGCCACTGGAGACTCCCAATATGGCTTGTCCAAATTGAGATGTGGAGCCTGGTGCTGGTGGCTCACACCTGTAATCCTAGCTACTCAGGAGGCTGAGATCTGAGGATCACAGTTTGAAACCAGCCTGGGCAGGAAAGTCCTCGAAACTCACTATTTCCAATTAACTACCAAAATGTTGGAAGTAGCAGTGTGGCTCAAGTGTTAGGGCACCAGCCTTGAGTGAAAAAAGCTAAGGGATTGCACCCAGGTCCTGAATTCAAGCCTAAGTACTAGCACATGTGCACATACATGCACACACACAAATGTAGATGTGCTTAGTTGTATATTAGAATACTGCATGATCTCTCTTAATTGTAGATGTTAAAGAATTTGATCTCAAAGAAGTTCAGAGTACATTTGTAGTCTCCAGAGGTTGGGAAAATAGGAAAGGATGTGGGATAGGGAAAAGTTGAGAAATGAGGCTAATTTACAGCTAGAAATGAGCAGGAAGCTCTGGTGGACTGTTGCACAGTAGGGTGCCCTAGATAACAGTACTGCACTGTACACAGAGAAATGAGGAGATAAAGATGTTTAATATGATCTAAACATCATACAACATATACATAGATCAAAACATTATGTATAGCCAGGTATTATGTAAATTTTCTCTCTATATTTTAAATTTATGTTATTGTTATTATAGAGGTGATGTACAGAGGGGTTACATTTAAGTTTCTATGTTTTTATTTAACCAGTTAAGAACTAAACTTTAACTGAGGGGAATATGCATACTGGATGTCAAAGGTGATATGGAAAAGAACACAAACTATTAATATTTTTAAGTGATTGTGTGTTTAAATTATGATACCTTGGGCACACTGGGCTATCTGTAATATAGTGCTAAAATTAATTTGGTTGTTTCTTTTTATGATTTGTTTAATGCTGTGCTATATTAGAACATATTTAATATATTATTACATATTATATATATATATATAATACACACACATATGCTTTCTACTATTTCTTTACACCCGAACCCAATAAGGGCTTCAGGTGACCCCAATCAGACTGCCCATGAGGACTGCGGTTTGAGTCATTTCACAGGGCTGAGCCCAGCCCCTGGTGCCACAGTGGGAAGTCTCAGACTCCCTGAGCAGTAGATTGCTTTTTAGAAATGCCAAGGAGAAACCACTTGATCAGCCATAAGTCAGCATCCAGTAATAGAGAGATTAATAAATGAGTTCTCAGGGAACAGGCCTATTCATGACTTCAAGCCTGTCACACTCATTCTGGAACCAATCACGAAAACTAATAAATTAAATGCAGAGCACGATGTTCATACATTGTACACCCTGCTCAGAGAGAATCACTACTTTATTGAGAATTGCTACTTTCATTTTGGAGAGTTGACATTTTTGATAATGGA